GGGAACCAGGTTGGAGTTCTAGTCAAGAATCGAGTTTAGTTCGAGTATTCGGTCGAGGGGGGTGCTCGACTCTGAGGGTTTTTGGATTGATAGATTGAGGGTTTTGTTAGCTGCCAGGGCTCAGCAGTGCATTCAACACGGGAGTACGGGCTATTCAATGTGTGTGGTAGACACGCGAGTCAGGGAACAGACCACGGATTTCCAAGAGGGTGGACGATAGACATGAGGCCGAGGGTTAGGCTGGGGATATAGTCCACAGAGTAGATCAGGAGTTCGAATCCCCAAGTGGGTGAGAACAAGATGCATGGGAGAGAGCATCAGGAGGGTGGTCCAGGGAGATGCTAAACAGTTTAGAGCGGTCCGGATAGACTGAAGGCCAGTGGGGCGTACCAGTCAAACCGAAGGCTTGGAGAACGGTCCAGACATGCTGAAGGCCCAGAGAGGCGGTCCAGACATGATGAAGGTTCTGAGAGTGGTCCAGATAGACTGAAGGCCTGTTAGGGCGGTCCAGTCATGCTGAAGACTCTGTATATGTTTGTAGATCTATGTTCGGGTATTGAGTAGGCTGTTATGCTATAGCAATCAATAGGTCTGTTCCAAGTATTGAACATGCTGCTGGAGTAGGCTGAGGACTCCATTGCATTTTGGTTGATCGGAAGTTGTTATTAGTGGTCGGACGGAGTTCAAAGGATCTTGGTGATCTCATCAGTTCAGAGTGTCTCCGAGGTTTCATCTTCTTGGATCGGGTAATACTCCAGTTAGATACTGAGAGTGGATACGAATGGGTATTCGTCAGTTTTGGGATTAGAATATCCTGTCATTCAGGTTCTGGGAACCGGATTAGATCTTTCTCATGATCGTCTATGGCATTTGGATAGGGTTGAGGCGGTCATGCTCTATGCAGTAGGCCAAGATACCCGGTGCGGGCCGACTGTAAGTCGTAGGCACAGAGGCTCGAAGGGAGCGGTAGGGTTGAGGTGGTAGGCCAACAAACCCTGAGAATTTCAACTCAATAGTTGAATTGATTAGACATGTTGGTATTCTAACCCTAAGGGATGATATGGGTTAGATTTGAGTGTCGTACTGGTTGGCCGGTAGTGGTAGGTATGTTGATGATGGTTTGAGTTATTGTGTTGTGTCTTGGGTCAGTTTCATCTGTGATAGAGCCATAGTGTGTCTAAAGTAAGGAGGAGATGGGTCACTAAAGACCAGGTAGGATGTGAGGCTGGCGTGGGTCATGTAACGTTCATTATGTTGGCAGGAGATGGTGGCAGGGCGTGGAAGCAAGTCCAGCCAGTCGGTTTCTTTTCGGGAAGACGAGTGGGACTGCTGTTTGTGTGTGTGTATTTTGGTTCAGTAATCGGTGAGGTGTCCGATGTTCGGGTTGTAGGCAGACAAGTTGGGACCAAGGAGGTTTCGACTTCACTTGAGAAACATCATGTGGTAGCAGGAAGAGTTGAAGTGGGTTTATGACTTGGGATTCATGTGTGGTAGTAGTTTTGTATCGTTATGTTGTTCGTTGATGAGAGGAGCGTCGATTAGGCCCTTCGAGTGGCAGAGGAAAGTGGATATATGGAGGGTCGGAGTTTTGGGCAACTGAAGTGACGACAGTAGTGTCGATCGGTCATCGGGAGCATTCCAGTCATAAGCTGAGGGCCGGGGAGGGCATACTAGACTCATGTTGTGGGCTCAGACGCAATCCAGACCTATGCTGAGGACCACGTAAGGGCATTACAGTCATAGGCTGTGGGCATAGAGATTGTGTTGGTTATGTATGTTGTAGGAGCGCGTTCGGATTGGGTGTATTGTTGAAGATTCGGGGGAGTTGCACTCGGTTGTGACGAATCTGAGGATGACCGGACCCTATGATTGACTGGATTTGATATGTTTAGTATTCCAACCCGAGGGTTAATTGGGCCAAACGTGTGAGGGATACGAGGGTATTCCATCCTAGGGATGATCGGAGCCGTCGTAGGCTCGCCTGGTATTCCAGCCCGAGGCTGATTGGGCCAGGCATAAGTGTTGTATTCATTAGTGGATTGATTATGTATGATGATCTGAGAGCAGAAGGATGCATTATCATGTCAGCAAAAAGGATTGATTATGAAGGCCCTGCGAGGCGGTCCAGACGTGCCGAAGGCTCGGAGAGCGGTCCAGATAGACTGAAGGCCTGCGAGGCGGTCCAGTCAAGCTGAAGGCTCATTATGCATGATGTTATGTATTTGTTGATATGATATGATTATGGTTATATGAGGTTGGTATTGTGGGGGTAACTCACTAAGCTTTCGAGCTTACAGTTTCAGTTTATTGTTTCAGGTTCAGCGGATGGCCGCGGGTAGGCGAAGGCGTGACCGTACACTTCCTCGATTGACGATTATGATTTCTAGGAACTTTGATGTATAAACTATTTTGAAAACAAATTGTAATAATTGAATGGTTTCAAATGATTTAAAAAGTTTTAAATTGGCTCGAATTTTATGGGTGTTACATATTCTACGATTGTTTCTTTTGGGAGTTCTGGTTGCTTCAAACAACGACATGGGGGAGGCGAGCCCCAACCTGAAAATCGAGACATGCAGCAATAGAATAAGTAACGAAACTTGTCGATTACGAAACCAAAAAAGGTGTGGAATCAGCTCACAGCAGTCCAAGATAACTCTGCACATCAAAACATACCTAAAAGAGAGAGGCGATGAAGGAGAGAGAGCGAGAGAGAAGAAAACAAAAAACCAAAATTGAAGCTTACTTGTACACTCATTTGTTGTCGAAGAATAAGGATGCAAAGAAACAGAGAAGAAGGAGAAAGGGAAATAAACCAGATGAAAAGGTAGAGGCGGTGGAGCTTGGTGGTGGTCGATTCAATATTGTAAAGCCAAAATCCAGAGAAAGTTTGTGAGGATTAGGGTTTAGATCAACAGATATGAAGTTATCTCTTCCTGATTTAATGGGATTATGCTTGATGATTAGTTAAAGATTATATGATTTGCTGATATTATGGGATTGATTGCAATGAGAATTGAAGAATACACCGAGTTCTACAACATTTGAGCGGAATGACTGCATAAGGGCAAAGTAGGAATTTTACATAGATGATTAGAGCGGGAAAAGTCAAGACCGAGGGACTAAGGTAATGCCACATGGCGGTTAATGTACTGTTTTATTAGAAGAGGAGATTATATTCAGAAACCCCATATATCATATATAATTGTTCAGTTTAAAAAAAAGGCACATTATATTTTACCTATCTATTTTGTATCTATTTTGCAACCGAGGAAGACATTATGTGTGGTTTAATCTTTTTACGTCAGCTTTTACCTCTTGATACATTATTAGAGGCCAAGGGATGTCATAAAATATCAATGTCATTGTCACATCACATTTAATTAACACATTAATTAAACAAAATTGATTAGGCTATCCAGAGTGGGATAGAAACTGAAGCGTGGAAGTTTAGGTGGCATCCTAAAAGACTCATGAACACCGACCCAAGGACTGGTGGCTTAGGTGTGTAGTGGATGCAAAGATGGATGAAGACAACCAATGAGATTGAAGATGTGTCAGATTCGAACGTTTTGCGGGTTGTGGGTTTGTATCCCTTGGAAACAATTTAAAAAAAAAGATTTTCAATTTTAAATTAATCTCTCTATATGCACACACTTTACACATATTTTTACACACAACAAACACATGTTCTCTATAAAATGAATAGTTTTTTAATGTTAATTTTATGTGTTTTTTTTTTTATGTTTTTTTAGTAATTTAGTTTTAATTTTCTAATTTTTTTATGTTCTTTAAATAATTTAGGTGGAATTTTCTATATTTTTAATTAATGTAATATGGTTTTAATTAATATAAAATATTTATTTATGTTATAAATTGTGTTTTATTTAATTTAATGTTAAAAAAAATAAAAAAATAAAAAAAAAGTAATATTATGGAGTGGTAACCATTTCCAATGTCTAGTGGATTGGTGGTGGAGCTGACGTGACGCTGAGGTGACAACACTTTTCCGATGACTTGGATGTGACCACTCTCCATAGCCTTAATCTCCATAGCCTTAATAGCTTTTCATTGGGAAATTTGAGAAGATCAATAGGTAAAAAGATAATATATTTTTTTATTAACAAGAAAATAATATAAGAGTTTTATTTATATTTTTCTTTTTTATATAAAAATTTACAAAAAATGCAAAATACACACAATTCAACCGACATGACCCGTGCCAAAATGAAGTTATTTGTTTTGATCAAATATTGTATCCACAAAGATTGTGACACTACAATTTTAAAACATTTCAATTAAAAAATCCCAATCAACAAGCTCTCTTATAAACTTTAAAATTGATCAAATTAATCTGGTTTAGTAATTTCTGCTAAAGTATGCGCACGCCTAATTAGTTGTAGATCCTATCAATATATTTTGGACTTTTTATTGATAATTGAGTTTGTTTATTAAATTAAAATAGGTGTGAGACTCGTATGTTATACGAGTTCGATAAAACAAAAATTTAATATAAAAGTTTAAATAAAAATTTATTTAAATTTGAAATTTTAGATTTGAAATTTAAAATTTAAAAGGAAACATATTAAATATTATAGAAGTACTAATATTGTAATTTATTGGTTATTTTCAATTAATGCAATTATTAATTAAGGGATAAATATAATGTGTTAATTAAGAAAAGACAAAAAAAATAAGTGGAAAAAACATTTAATCAAAAATACCAAAAAACGACATGTGTCAAAGTTAATGAAATAGTGAAATGTGGCAAAAAAAAATTATTTATTAGGAATGATGATGATGATATTAATTTAAATTCAAATATTGCCTTTTTTTTTTTTTAACGAATGAAATATGAATTATGTTCACTTTTTATCCAAGTAAATCCTTTTTGATGGAAGATACAAGTTTCCGTCGCTTTTTTTTGGAAGAAAAAAAAATAAAGTTGAGGCGCCTTAATTTATGAAAAGAGTAAGTTTAGGGGTCATTTTTGTATTTAGGCCACAACTAAACTCAAAGAGTAACCCGCTGTGCGTTTGGATCAATCGGATCAATAAGAAGTGGAAATCTCGATCGGTGACGGAGAAGATGATCGTTTGCATCGCCGTCGTTGGCCATCAGGTTCTGCTTGATTATGCTCGATTTACTTATTTTTGTGTGTAATTTCTTGAATTTGGCATATATTGTTTGATAATTTGCTTGGTTATTTTCTTATTGGGAAGTACAGAATAATCCATTGTACATACAGAGCTTCACTGAAGCAGATGATGCGCTCAAGCTTCATCATATAGTTCATTGTTCTCTCGATGTTGTTGATGAAAGAGGTATTTTATAGTGATTATGAAAATAATGCCTAGTTTATATTCCATCATTTCCTTTTGTGCAAAATATAGTTTTTAGGGTTTCGAATTTGCTCTTTCCAACTCTGAAACTGGAAGACGATTCTAGATTTGATTTATTAGAATGTTGATTGGGAATTTGGGATTCTAGATCGGAAGTTCTGTCATTGCGTTAGGATTGCCATTCAGGATGACAATTTTTGATTCTCAAGATGTTAATCAGATGCGATCTCCTTCCAAACCTAAGTGTTTACAAAATTTTCATTTGAAAATTTCAAATTTTAAAGATGTAGGTTCCTAATTCCTTTCAAATCTTAATTTGTACTCTTACATTCATCAAATTGTCAAATTGTCTTTGACACTTACTTTTTTCTTCATCTTGAGCCTTGATTCTTTGTATATACAATTGCCCTTCAGTTTCTATACTCTTTAACTGTTTGTTCCAAGTATTTGAACTTGAAACTCACTGTTTTGATCCTGTTCTGGGTAAAACATCATGGATTATGTTTCTATTTTTTGCATTTAAACTATAAAGGTTGTAAATTTCAATAGTTGCTACACAAAAATTGATCAACATTTCTACTTATTATCTTTAAGAAATGCACTTTGGATAGACGTTTTGGTGCTTGTGTTCCTCGTTTTCTTCTTCCAAAATATATATAATTTTTTTTATCTGGTAAATTTTTAGAGGAATTTAGGTCTGTGGTCAATATTAATTCGATTCTCATGTCTGTATTGCAGTGAACAACCCAAAAAAATCTGGACCAATGATAAATGAGACATTTCTTGGTCTTCTATATCCAACTGAAAATTACAAAGTGTGAGCATATTTTTTTCATGTCATTCTTGTTTTCCCATTGATTTTTTCAAGAAAATTTGATCTCCCTTCTTTATGATAATACTTTTTACAAGGTACACGTACTTGTCCTTAACTAGGGTTACATTTTGTGGGCAGGTATGGTTATCTAACCAACACAAAGGTTAAGTTTATCCTAGTCACAACTGACCTTGATGTCCGTGATGCAGATGTAAGAAATGTAAGTGCATATAAACTTTTTTTGAAAACATGATTTATTCAGACAGATAAGTGAAAAAGAAAGTGAATATTAACATTTTTGTATGTGATTGGAATAGTTTTTTAGAAGGTTTCATTCTGCATATTTAGACGCTGTGTCAAACCCATTTCATGTCCCTGGTAAAAAGATAACTTCCAAGACGTTTGCTGAGAGGGTCAGCACTATTGTTAAGTCGGTTAGCTTCAATACAGCTGGATGAAATGAAACGAAACTTAAACTCTGTATCTATCTTTTATTTCGTTTCCAATGTGTTTTGATATTTGAGTTTTGATTTAATATTTTTATCAAGACCTTTTTTTTATATCTTCATATTGGTTCTGTTAGGCCTAGAAAGCTTGTTTAGTCCTGTTACACCCAATGGGGCCAATGAGGGTATTTATGTCTTTTGCATGATTGAGAGATTGGTAATGAGTCTACGGTGCTGTTTGTTTTTTTGAAGCAAAAATCCATAAAGTCTGCGGACCACCTCTGCAACCCTCTGCAGTAGAAGAGGTGGACCAAACGGCAGCAGATTGTAATAAAAAGCGTGTTTGTTTTTTTTAACATCTGCATGCTGCTGCAAATATTAAAAAATTAAAATAAACTGATTTTATAATCCGAAAATAATTTTTTAATACCGAAAATTTAATAATGTATGACATTTCGGTAATAATTTCTAATATTTCAGCAAAAAAATAATGATATTTTAACAAAAAATAAAAATATTTTAGCATAAAATAATGATATTTCATCAACAAATTATTATTATTCAATATAAAAAAAAATTCAACAAAAAAAAACAAAAAAAAAAACGAAAAAAAAAAATGCATAATAAGATTTCAGCAATATATAATCAATATTTTAGTAAGAAAAAAAAGAGAGGTAGGAAGAGGCAGAACAAGTGTTGCGCCAAGAAGAACATGCGCAGAGGTTTTTTAATCCGAAGACTTCTGAAAAACAAACAACTGCGAGATGAAAAGTGTTGCGCGTGTGCTGCGCCACGCAACAATAAGAGGTCTGAAGATGTTTTTTCCAAAAAACAAACAGCACCTATGTCATGTCTTGTTCCATGTTGTTTGGGTGGGACAAAAAGTTATAGTTTTTGTCATAATGGTCATAGTCCAATGCATTTAAGACAAGGTGGTCGAATTCATGATATGAATGTAGGTGTTATATGATTATTTTATCTTTTAAAAACTGTCAAACATTCTATGGCAGATGATGTGTGTGAAATGCACTAGTTTTAATCCTACTAACTTAGACACAAAATAAACACACGAAAGACAGTGTACCTATCGATTAGCAATATAGTTCAAGCAAGTAGGGTATCGAACACAGAGAACGGTAAACAATTATAATAAATGCTAATATTATCTAAATAAAACAAGTAATAGAAAATGAGTTTTCTCTAGTTTTGCAAGACTAGAAACTTAAGTACTTAACTAATACTCAACTAAGCAACTAACAACTAAGCAACTAACAACTAAGCAAATGAAAATCAACTAAATTCAATAGTGGGAAGGACTTCTGTTTAGGTTTTGAATCATCTATTCCTATGGTTGATTTTATGACAAGTGCAATGGATTAATTAGCATTGGCTACCGATTAATGTGATTAGGTTCACGTTCGCTATTACTAATCCTTAGAAAACAAATCAATTTAAGCAGTGATCAAGTGATTAAACTAATAAGTTTCCTAGTTTATTGATTCGGGTTAAGTAAGACTTGTAATTAGCTAATCAAATTACTAATTCAATTAACATCTTGTTGATGGTTCCTCACACAAGGCTTACACATTAATTTACTTATTTTCTAATTAACCCTAGTTTCATGTTCGCTATTCCTTGGCATATAACAATGTTTTCACACAAATCATATGAGATTAGCAATTAAGAGATGTTCATGCAACTTAATATACTGGTTAATTAACAGAAAATAGTTGTAATTAACACATAAGGTTCTTTAACAAGCTTAACAAAACAAAATTACCAAATTAAATTAATCCAATTATAAAATCAAACCATATTCATAAAGTCATCTATCATAAACAGAAGTTATGAGTTTTTAGCTCATAATTAAAGCAGAAAACAACTCAAAAACGAAATCAATTGATGCAAACATAGTTTAAACAAAAGATTAAGTAAAGAGTAAACCTAAATTGCCTTTGATCTTCTCACAATTGAAATCTAAGTTGAAATCTCGAAAACCACAGCTTCTAAGAACCCCTTCTGGCCTCTAAAAATCATCCATCGCTTCCCCCATTCGTTAGGGTTCGAATGAGAAGCGTTTATAAATATAAATTCTGAAAACAGGGCCGACTCGGCGAGTCCAGTGACCGACTCGACGAGTCCATCACTTAAAATCCCGTGTACGACAAGTCTGCGTCGAGAATCGCGAACTTTCTGATCAACTCGTCGAGTTCATTTGGAATCAACATTTTCTCAAAACACGAAAGTCGTCCGAAATTGTGTCTAGTTTTCAGAACATTTTGAATCTCGTCAATCGGAGTTACGGTTAATGAGATATGGCCAAAACACTGACGAGGGGTCAAGTTGTCCAGCAACATCCTTCTTTCTTCAAAATCCAAGATCCAAGCTTCCAATTGCTAAATTCGCTTCCTTTTTCATCCGAGCATTTCTTTTAGGCTACAAATACATTTTAAACAAATTTAAGTACCTTTTGTTCATAATTTGCAATAAAATAGCCAAAAAGTATTAAGATTTAACACAAAATATATGACTAATTATGCACATATCAAAATACCCCACACTTGACTTTTGCTTGCCCCCAAGCAAAAACTGAATTTTAAACATACTAGCATCACATAAAGCAATCCCAATCAAACCCAACCATTATGCTAAGATCGCAACGCATGAATTTGTGTCTAAAATTTTTTCTAAGGACCCCCCCTCAATTCTAAATACTAACAATCCTTATAAACACTCGCCCACTTCTTTTGAACAATGCTCATTTTGTGCATCCCTCCGAATCCATCCTCAGAAAACTTTCTTAACCTCAAAGTATATATTTTTGGTCCAGCAACCCAAGCATACATAATCTAGAAAATTACAACTTTTTTTTTCGATACCACAATGGAGCTCTTCGGAATTCTTCACTTCTTTGATAATTTGATCTTTACTTCTTTGAATTCACCACCTTTTTTATTTTTGGTATCTTCAACTTTTGAACTTCTTTAGAATTTTGATCTTTTGATCTTCATACTTTGACTGCTCCAAAATTCTTACAACTTTTCTTGTAATTCTTTCTCTCTTTTTTTCACATGTAACTCACTTTTTTTTCACTCAAAACCTACATGCTTAAGCAAGGGCACTCAACTTCAACCTTTATTGGTTAAAGATATTAGTTTTCCTGGATACATTTCAAGTACACGATGCTAAACATATTGCGTTCCTCAAACTAAGCGAGGTTGTGTTTTTGTCCCATGATTTCACTAGAATAAAGGGGGCCACAAATGCACTATAACGTATATTGGCTCAACTAAACATTTGGGTTCTCATAAAATTATTAAACGCAATACTAGCATGATTCCTAATTGCTTTTACCAAAATTTTCTAAATTAATCCTAGCAGTTTTTATTTTAAAATTAAACCTAGGATTCTAATGTAACTAATGTAACCAACCCCCTACCCCACACTTAATTCATACAATGTCCCCATTGCATGTTATGCATGATAAAAAACATAAAAGTAAAGAGAGAATTGGAACAAACTCTCATGGGATAGTAGTTGCGAGGTTGATCTTCTTCTTTTAAAGCTCCTACTTCAGCTGACTTTGGCATGGGAACAGCTCATCCATGCCTTGGGTGTCAAACGTTCGTGTGGTTGACAGCTCTAAATATACTGGAAAAAGCTTCTGGGAAAACTTCAAAAATGGACTTCAAAAATATAGCCAATGCCCACCTTAAATGGAATCAAATCGAAAACTTGAAAGAAAACCTGACCGAGCAACTCGTCGAGTTATAAGTGAAGACTCGTCGAGTTAAATTGTCACTTGGACAAAAGTCGCGAAATTCTTCTGGAACTCGTCGAGTAGTGTTATATACTCAACGAGTTTGACCCTTTGATCGTGAATCTTTTCTCCTTCTGCTTCAAGTCCGTTTTCTTGGTAAGGGGGGGGGGGGTATTAAGGTAATACACCCTTTCTATATCTTCTGTAATACGACTCTTTTTAACAGTTATAAGCCTCGGACTCAAAAGATTGCTCAAAGTCTTCTTCTCTTCTTGTAAACGACTCGACCCCTCCCTTTATTGCCCTTACGCTTTAAGTAATCGCTCTAATCTCACCCTAACTTCTGTAAAGATCAAAGACAAAAAACTACATAATAACAGGAAAACAAACATCAAATTAGCATTCCTATATTACTCTAATAGACTAGAAGTTTAGAAACAAACCAAACTAAACACACAAAATTAAAAGAAAAAGAAAAAGAAAAGCAAACTCTAATGACGGGTTGCCTCCCGCAAGCGCTTCTTTTTGTGCGAGTCTTGAGCTGGACTCCCAACTTAATAAACTTCAAATAAACTCAATGCCAATCCATCCATTGCATTGAATATTTTCTTTGGACCAATTTGTAAAATTTGACTCTTTGCTTCAAAAATTAACCAAACGAGCTTTAATTCATGTAACCCAAGAATCTTTACAAGGGTTGGAACCGGTCGGGTACTAATCAGAAATGGATCGCGCTTCAGTACTTTCTCCAAAGTTGGAATCGTCACCCCATGCTTCGAAACACAAACTGGAAATACAGGGGGACCATGTCGTGGTAATGGTCAAACCACAGCTTGGTTCCTGCAATTCAGCTTGTTCTTGTTCTTCGTCCGACCTCTCTGCTAGCAATCTTTCCAGCTCCTCCAAATCTTTTTCTGGATTAAATTCTTCATCTTGTAAATCTAGCTCTTGTAACTCAGATTGCTCTTGTTCATTCGGCAAGATGTTATCTAACCATCTTCCAAATTTCTTCAAATAATCATCTGAGTCATACTCCTCATCTTCTTGCTCAATTTCATGTACTACTTCCTCAAGAAAAGCATCAAGAGCATCGGGATTTGGAAAATACATAATAAATAAAAAAAATAAAAATTAAACTAAAAAAATCATTAAATTAAAAGCGATAACAACTAGCAAATAAAATTAACTATTTGAACCGTTCCCCGGCAACGGCGCCAAAAACTTGATGTGTGTGAAATGCACTAGTTTTAATCCTACTAACTTAGACACAAAATAAACACACGAAAGACAGTGTACCTATCGATTAGCAATATAGTTCAAGCAAGTAGGGTATCGAACACAGGGAACGGTAAACAATT